GCCCCAGGAACGTACTGCGAATATGCAGAGGGGCGGGCGGATGGACACAAAAGAACCAATTGCGGGTGGACGAACGGATAGTGATGCCGACGGACGGGTAGAGATGCCGACGGACGGATATGCCGGCCGACAAGAGAACAGAATCATGTGCATGCCGAGCAGCATCCATAATTTCCAACATCCCCTACTTCCCACACTTAGTTGGTCAAGGCCTACTACAGAGTCTACCGCATATACAAAATATTGCCCTTATATTTATGCTTGTTGATTGGGCTCTCCCAGGAGTCTAGCCGTGTTGTCCCCATATCCGAAAACACCAACATTTATGCACACTAGCAGGAGGTCCTCCCGATTGTAGGGGATCGTTTGCATTAACAGGGGCCCTTGAAGAAGAGCCGTGCAAGATCGGGTGGAGGACAGCTGCTGACGTTTCCCCGGGTTTTTGGCAGAAAGCCCAGGGCTGGCGATAGGCTCCATTATAAGTTGATACAACTAAGTGCCTGTAATTTTCAATACCGGAATGGAGGGGCCTCACCTTCTGGGCGTTATGGCACGCGATGCCATCACCCCAGTACATCAAGAGCAACGAACCTATTTCTGGATGTTAGCTGTTCTATCTTGTGCTTGATGGGGAAGAGCATCAAAGCTCTTCTGGTAGAAGGATGTATAGTAGGTTAAAAGCGACCTTGGAGTTGAGGGGTGAGTAGTAGCGATGTCACGGGCTGAGAGAAGCGATGAGACCAATAGTGATAGGAAGAGAAGAGATATCATGGGATGGAATGAAACAGAAAGGATGAGAAGCAAAGAGGTGGAAGGAGCATGTTTGGGATAGTTAAGGGAAGCCATGGCACACTCAAAGAGAGATTGAGCGAAAGGTTTACTTATCCATGTATGCAAAGGCTACTGCTATAAGCAGAGGTTTGAAGTGACCCAGACTAAGGAATAGGAGGAATAAAGACGTTAAGGAAATAGTTTAGATACCGAGAACTCTGTATCTTTTTGGGCTTATCGTTCTATCTACGACAAAACAAAGAGTTTATATAGGAAGCATAAAGAACCTTCTGAATATCGGAGAGTACGGGTATCAGGCAAGCCTCGCAATTGGGTAGGCCCGGGCTGTTGATCGGGTTGTTTGGGTTCTGCCGCTGGTGGCACGGAATCCACCCACTTCGTCGAGTTGCTTCGGTATATTCACTGATCCAATGGGGTGGATTCCGTGCCACCAGCGGCAGAACCCAAACAACCCGATTAAGGACCCGGGTCGGCCCAATTGCGAGGCTTGATATCGGGCCTGGGATTTCTTACGACAAAGGAGTTTCGCGCTCCATTGCATGTACTTCTCTAGTCCACGCTTCCGCTTCTTAGCAGATTACTTTCGGCTATCTACGCAAATTGTTGAATTCTTGGTCCCCGTCACCTCAGTTATCTTTTCAAACAGTTGAGTAGTCTCCTTGATTGTTTCATTATTGCGAAGTTAGGAGATCAGGTTATCTCCAATCTATTGCTTCATTTCATTCCTTTGAAACTCTCTGCCCCTTACCGGTAAAAAATCTTTTCTTTTAGCGGGAGAAAATATTTCTCTCCCTTTCTTGAGTGAAAATTTTCACCCACATGGACCTGATACTGGAGGAAACAGGTCCTATTAAGAAGGACCTGATCATGTAGTTAGAAAAATATGGGAACCTGGACAATCAATCTTCTGCCTTCTTGAATAGCCCAGAATCTGAATCTCACTCTATTTATCAAATTACAAAATTTCCTCCTCTCTTATCGGTCCCCTTTTCTCACACAAATTCTCACGTAGAGTATCCACCAGGGATACCCATTTCTCCTTGCTTGATCATTACTGACAAGGGAGACTAGTAGCTAAGGAATAACAAGAAATGAAAGCCACTACCACCCAGGGGGTGAATCCAGTTAAGGAGTGATCGCTGGTGTTTTTCTACACTTCCCCTCGACTGTAATCAACACCTCTTCCCCAACCACCTTCTAGATACCGATTAACAAGTTTTCCGGTGAAGGAGCCAAGACAAGACCAGTGACAGGTCCATCATGTTACACCGGTACTGGTATTTCATGATGCAGCATACAGAATCCGGGGTTGCACCTGGGAAAGATGCGTATTCATTCTCAATTAACCCTAGAGATTTTACGCATCATGGAGGAAATTTGACTTGTGGTGTCCTGTTCGTTCCTCGCCCGAACAAAGCCCACGAAAGACCACTCATATCATACCTTCTTTCATGTTTCCCTGTCTTACCTAAAGGTCCCTTCCCAGAATCGGCCGTCCCACTCCTACTCCTCATCGCTCTTGACGGCTGTCCAGAGATATTATCGTCCCTGATGAACGAGGAGTGGCAAGTGACTTTTTCTGGTTCATAGAAACCCTCAATCGCCTCACGTGGGGCATCCGCACTCTTCAGGGCACTAGTTTTCCCAATCTGATCTGTCACCTCCACCCTATTCCAGAGAATCCCCTGGGACCTGCCTTGTTCCCCCCCGATACCATCCGAACCTGAGGAAAAACGACGATCCTACCATGCCACTTTGGCTCTACTCTACTAGTGGCCTTGCCAGTTCTAGAGTACTTGTCTTGACATCCATTTCTCACCTACTTCACCCTTTAACCTCCTTGTAACGTGTTCGCAAGGTGCTAATCACGTTATCGGTAAAAGATACAATAGTTGGCAGGTGGCCTGCTCTTCCAGAGAGGAGGCGAGAGCTGAGAACTAAAGGAGGCTTCGAGGGTGTACTGGGAAGCAAAGAAGTAACCATTCAACCAAGTATATTGAAATACTATCTGTCGAAGTCTGCCTTTTCCATCGTGGAATCAGGCAGTCTTTTAAATACACAATTCCTGTTCATGTCTAGCATGAACGAAGCTAATCAAAGGTATCAAGTGATACTCTTTGGTAAAACTACCTAAGTATCAAAATGATACTTAAAACAATACATAAAAACAAAACTAAGTATCAAACGATACTTAAAACAAACCAAGTATCAAAGCGATACTTAAAACAAAACATAAAACAAAACTAATAACCGAGTACCCGTACCGGTTACACTCCTTATTTCCTTCCCATCTTGTCAATAATAAAACCGAACGACGAAATTCCACTCCTACGGAGAGATCTAATGACAAGACGGCAAAATTCCGGTTATTAAATTTATACACACATTACTGAATATCTCTTTAAATCTTACAATCTTATATTCCGATAATCCTACTTATATCCTGCGCTCATCACTCCTTTTACAAACTCCAGATCTCATACGACCATCAGGTGGCGTTCCGTTTCTGTTCGTAACCGCAGCGCAGGTCGCAACTAGGCGAAAATCTAAAAAGTATTCCTCGCTCAGGGAAGGCACCTGGGAGAGAAAGATGTTGGGCTACTATTCCCTTTGAAACTAAGTCTCCGCTGCAGTACCCTTTTGAATTTGTCCCTCTTTCTCTCCGGCCTATTCTCAACAACCGGTGCTGTCCCACGCGGTACTCCGTTTTGCGAAGGTTTGAAATCTAATCCGCTGAGAGATATCCTTTCCCGAAGCGTTTTTCTAGCACGCCCAGAACTACTCACACCTTCTGGAAACCGAATTGCGTCAACAAGCCTGGCAGTAGACTCTTCTACTGCCGACATCGCAATCTCCAAACTGTTGTCTTCTTCATCAGGTCCCACCCCCGGTTCATAAAAACTCGGGGACCCCACCTCCCCCGCCACGCTCGAACAGTGCTCTTTCTCCTCTTCCTCTCTCACCTCCTGGATACTTGCAAGCTTCGTCCAGCCGGTATTCCCAATCTCAAAAACTAGATCTCCAAAGATCGTCAGCAAATTATCCTTGGCCTCGCCAATATCCCGAATGAACTCCTTGGTGCCAAGTTCGTTATGTGAAGACCAGTAATCTTGAATACACGAGGCCATGTAATTGAATTGTGCGAAAGCCTGCGTTTCGTAATCCCTAGCACGAGCGAGGTTGTGCTCTGGATTGCGGGGGCTCTGGGACCAGCGGTCGGCCCTACGGCGGATTTTGGTCATTGTCGAACCGGCTACAGTGAGGATGTTTGCGATCTGGGATTCGGTATCCTCGTTAGTTGCACGAGCTGGGGTATTGGGTGGTCTGGAGGGTCCAGTATCTGTGGGGCATTGTGGGGCGGACATTTAGTGTTGCTTGCACTATTACTCCCGGCTTAAGGTGTCGTCGCATCAAAAAAAACCTAAGGGAACCGATCGGCGGGTGGCTCACAAAGGGTGCTTTTATACGCCAAGACAGGCTTGAATCTTGATTGTGAGTCGACCGGGTTGTGGGGGTGTGCTCGTCCGGGATCCCCCCCGATTCCCAGGTATCGAGTTTCGTGCCCCCTGTGTTCCAAACAGAATGTTTCGAGCGATAGCAGGAGGAGCAGCCGAATGATCGGCCATGGCGTCGCCCAGACTGCCAGAATACAGATTCAAAAATTGAGCTGAGATGAAAGTTTGGTATCCAGTGAGCTGAGAGCTTGGGTGCCTGTAATCGTGAGAGAGAAAGATACGTAAACCCGGGTTTACTCTAGGACTTGTGCTTTGAATCCCCGGTTTAGTTTAGATCACTATGGCAAACCTTGCACTGCAAGTGATGAGTCCGTTCCCACTGGTGCAGCTTGAAACTGGAGGCTTAGACCAATGAAAGCCCCCAAAATTGAAACATATTCTTCGGGAAGTTAGGGCTAATGTCGTATTCTAACTCCTCGTGATGTATACCGTGCCTTCTTGAAAATTATCATACTATTCATAGCCTCGTGACAATGTCTCATACAATTCCACTAAGTTAACCCATCATTTTCAAGTAATACCCCAACGAAGACGTTGAATAGTATATGCATACAGCGTCTTTTTCAAGGACTTGTCCGACAAACCCAAGGCGTCAACTCCCCTATATAATCCCCACCAAGAATCCCAGTAACCCCCCGTCTATCAACCCTCTACCCCACCACACCCACCCAACCACAAAGTTGACACATACTCTATCCATCCAACACTGCCAAAACAAAAAAAACAAAATGTGCAAGCTAACCGCAATAGTCTACGCCTGCAATCACGCAACTTATATACGCAATTACACCTGCCCCCAATCCACGAACTCGCCCTTCATTGCCCATCCCACTTGCATGAGCTTTGCCATTGAGTGGACGGATTTCACACCGCCGGTAGAGGCGGTTACCGAGAGGGAATTTGTCTGCGGTATGACTTGCGGAAGAAGGGATTTGGGGTGCCAGTTTAGGCAGGTGTCCAGGGATTAGGGGTTGATCCGACAGTCATAGGGATTGGAATAGCTTAGGGTGGGGTTGGCGGTGTTCCGAATCGGTAAGAGGGAGTGCGGTAGTTGTTTCTTGCTTGTCTATTCACGTATCGTACTATGATACACACCGAAAATCGGGCGGTTAGGCGGGTTTCGTGAGAGGGAGGCGGGAGGGCAAGAGGTTGTAATTCGAACTTATAATAATATGATACGTACGACGATTGTTAGAGGAAATATGTCTGCTTCCTAGGATGGAATGGCGAAACCGCGAGAAGGCTTGACATGAAAACGTGATTGAAAACCCCTGCCCAATCTGCTCGGTCACCTTGCGTTAGAGGTCATTTGGCGAACAGTGAATAGTCCATTGTCTTCCCCAAGCGAATCGCGGGAAACCGTGACAACGTTATCCTGAATGGTGCGACGAAAATTCTCACCAAAGCGCTACCCCCCAACTCCCTACCCCTCCACAACGGGCAAACAGCCAACAATCCTGAGTGACAAATCATGATGCTCCTCCCTTCCCCTACAAAACAAAACACAGTGCAGATGGCAACGGCAGTCAATCCCGTAGATTCTGATATGTAGGTAAAAGAAGGAAGAAGAGAAGAGAAACAAAAAAAAAGGTTTGTATGTGTGGATCGAGAAGCAAACAATCTCTGTAGGAATAGGTGACAGTGACAAACAGGAGAAAAAGGTTTGAAATCCGCACGACGCTGACGGCCGTTTATCCAACATGCTTTTTCGTAGTTCTGTGCGTAGTTAACGCGGAAGGCTCATAACCTGTAGGCACCGATGTGTGGAGAGGAAGGAACTTGCTTCTTGTATTTCCTAGCTACGCCACCACTGCTACCTAAGGCGAAATACATGTATGTGCCAAGCCACCGCTTGTCACGTCTTTCCAACTCGTAACTAATGACTATGAGGTTAGCCCCAGTACTATATACACTCCCGTGTTAACAGAAATGAACTACTTTGGAACTACATTTCCTTGGCTTAAGTCTTAGCTGCTGGAACTCATAATTCTCTCCCCGTTGCCCCTGCCCCTCACATGCATTATTGACATATCTCTCCAGGATTAACTCTGGCTGCTGGATCCCTCTATTAACCTATGCCCCGGAGACTAGCAAGGGCGTTACAGAATTTTCCAGGGTTCCAGCAGCGCAGGAGATATCACTTATTTATTCCCCATGCAGGTGGTTTATTTCCCATATGGGTGGCTTTAATAAACGTCGAGGGATGATGGGATGGGGGTTCGAGCACTCTACCCGAAACGTGTTGCTTATTGTTTCGCCTGGTGAGGAGTGAGGAATGAGACACCAATGTCCTAGTGTCAGCGGAAGCCCAGAGATTTCCCACATCCCCCGGACCGGAGCCATTCCCAGCTCCACGAATGACAGTGACAGTATTATAGGTTCTCCCTTTGGCCTATACCCTACGGTATCCCGTCCCGCCGACATTCCCGATTCTTCCACCCACCCGCAATTATTTTCAAACCTAGAGCATGATAGGCTGCTGTTGCAGTACGGTACTTGCGCAGTTTAGTATCATACTTGTAAAGCACCAGTACTGAGCGGAATCGAGAGCTTACAGAATCCTCTCACAAAATGCTTATACTTATCCCACCTTTAATCTAAATCTACAAGTATCGATTCTCATCGCCGTGCGCCAGGGGAATCTCGTACCAGGAATCATGCATACCGGTCCGGGACAGGATAATCCCTGCGCCATCCCTTTCGCCAAGCATCCACAACGTCCGTGCACAAAGCTTAACCCAACCAACTATTAGTATTATCTAGCGAGCCTCAATGCAACAAGGCGGCCACTCATCCATCCTATCACCAAGATGCCCCGCCAAACCTTCTCCCAGGTTTCCACCGCGCGGAAGCAAAACCTCCTCGTAGAATTGTTCCCCTCCCCTGCGCTCCCTCTCCCTCGATACGACCTCACTAACCTTCACAGTGCAAGCCTAAAACACACATCTCCCCAGGGTGTATATGCCTCGCTCTCGTCGACATCGCACACTACCTGGCACTGCGTACTCTTCCCCCGCCGGGGACCCTACGCATCCGCCGTTCTCCCCTTCACAATCGAGTTCCCCGAGCGGTATCCCGACGGTCCGCCGCGGATCGAGTTCACGTCGGATATCTGGCACCCCATGCTCAAGCACGGCCTGTTCCAGTGGGGGAGTTGGTGGACGCGACGGGAGGGACGGGGCACTGTGGAGGTGCTGGAGTTTGTCAAGAGCTGCTTTGACGATGAGGCTGTTGTCGTGAAGGAGGTTGGGGGGTGGAAGGCTGGTTGTGATGAGAGAGTCAGGAGGGTTGTTCAGGCGAGTCATGCCGAGAAGGGGGATGGGGTGGTGAGTCCCGATCCTTTTGTCAGGGTAATACTGCGAAGAGTGCTAATGGGTGTGCTCTAGATTCGTTTTGTCGTGTTGGACGAGCCTGTACAGAGAGGGGTTAAGGGTCTCATGAGTGGGGAGGGCACGACACTACCTTGACTGAAGCTATCGAGAGGATTATTGTTTTCTAGAGCTTTGCCCAGCGTTCAAGAATGTAGAGCGAGTTCCTTTCTTATGAGATACCGCGTTCTACCTCCTCTCATTTGCTCATTCAGGCTTCCTGGCCTTGTTGTTTCGAGAGCTAAGGGCTAATTAGGCGTCTGTCCCCATTTGTGCCATCCTACTACCATACTGTTTTTCCTTTTTATTTATTTTTTGCCCTCCTTACTCTCTCAACCTATCGCCATAATCGGGGTACGGTTGTCTTAAGGGGCGAGATGGATTCCTTCACTGGGTTCCCGTTCCTGCGATACTTTTTTAGGATAACATCTAGTCCGTTGGGTCGCGCGAGGCCGCGAAAGCAGCGTCACAGCTCTGCGCAATTGCCTCGTCGTTTGTGAAGTTCCCTTTTTTCAACTTCGTAACCCTCTTTCTTGCGCTTCCATGATCCGTCGAGGTGCTGCCCATTATCCCACTCACCTGGCGAAAACCCTCACGGAATCCCGGACTGCCTACCCCAGTTTTCTACATAGCTTTTATAAAAATGTACAGCTACGACCCTACGCCCCCGATCTCTCCCCTCCGTCACCTCACCTCCCTCCCAATCATTCCCACGCCCTCAGACATCCGACGTTCGGACACGACAACCCCCACGCGCCGCCAGCCTATCGAAGATGACAGCGACATCACACCCCGACCCCTACGCATCAGGAAGGTTAAAAAATCGCCCCCAATGCCCTTCCGCAAGAAAGGCGGAGGCAGGCAAGAGGGAAAGGAAAAGGAAAAGGAATATGAATCGAAGAGAGGGTTTCTTGGGATGAACTTTCCACCAAGTCCTAGGGCTCGCAGTTCTTCTGCTGGTGTGTTGGGTCTGGGTAAGGGTAAAGGTAAACCTGGCAGAGATGGAGATCTTAACGACGCCGATAACCCCGCCGGGGGAAAAGGCCCGGGATCAAGCTCTAGTGCGGCGAAGATAATCTGGCTGCAGCGACCTACCACAAGACAAATGGCGAGTATCCCCAACCACGGCGAGGCAGCCGATTCCTATCATCGTGAAAATTTCCCCTCGATGGAACTCAATCATCCAGAAGGATGCGAGTCGCACGATCCTCTAAGTCGTGCTGGGGAGTATGCCTGCCTCCTTCCTTACTCTAGCGATCGACTCGCGAACGACAAGCATAGGAAGAATGCATTCTTGCGACGAGCATCAAGTACAGGTGCGAAATATGATAAGACGGCGAGGCAGAGACTTGAGCAGAGAAGATCGGGGACAGTTAATCGGGTCCTCGGGGAGACTGTCCGGCCCAAGTCCCCACCAAGGGGATGGAGACAGATGGCCATGGATTTATTCCAAAGCAATAATGGCAATTCCAGTCAAGCTCTCGTCAAGCGGGCGGATTCCAGAAAAAGTGATAGGAGCAATAGCATATCTTCCACAAAATCCGTTCTCACATTCGCCACACCACCTGAGGTCTCTCCCATCGAACCAGACACCACTGGCGATGTGGAAAAGCGAGTCGGTGGGAGTCTCCCGGGGAATACCGCACCGGGCAGCATGCGGAAGTTGGGCGGCCCGGATGGATCAGGACACTCTTCACACGACGGGAGGAGCATTCTGCCGGGGGGTGGTGTCCGCAATGCCAGTGTTCTGGCAATACTTGATGGCAAGATCGGTGGGGGAGATGGAACTAGACCACAAAAGTGTGGACAGTGGAAGCCACCAATGCTAGTAGTTGACTTGGCGGTTACTCCCGAACGGGATACCCTTCCTACGCACAGTGGTCGGTCCGGGGAGCCGAATGGGTTTTGGATATCGGTTGAGATTGAGGGCAAAGTCAGTAGTAGCGCTGGATATTCCGGGCAGCCACAAGGTGTTGGTATGGATGTTGGTGTTTTGCTGGATTTATCGTCAGTTCTACTTTCCATTTGTTATGCTATTGCTGACGAAGGCAGTCCGTATACCTCTCGCACATCTTTTTCAAGTATGAGATCGAAGGCGAAACGAATCGTGGAGTCAATGGAGAGTGCAAGGGATAGGGTCGCGGTAATGACCTTTCCATGCGCCACACCAAATAGCGTATACACTCTCAATGCCTCTGGGAGTGTAGCAAGGCAGCAACTACTGAAAGATATCATGTCCCTTTCTCTCCCGCAGACTAGCATCCCGCCGTCCTCTCGCAACGTCCAGGAAGCGGTAATGGCCGCGGTTAGGAAATTGAAGGCAATGCCTTCGGACGGGACGAGATATTCACGAGCAGATAGAAGCGTTCATTTATTCTTGTTGACTTCGCAACTAGATGACGGAGCTATAGACTTACTCCCGGAGGTGTTCATGGGACAGGTGCAAATTCACATACTCGGTATTGGACCCGTTTTCTGGCCCAGAAACGAGATGGGATCCTCTGGGTGGTGTGTTCCATTGAGCACTATGGGCCCAAGGCCTGGTAGCAAAGATGGCCACGGCGAGCAAAAGTGTGTTACTGTAGAAGAGATTATATCGGCACTGAGAACTGCTGTGGACCCTGGCGAAGCGCAGAACGTTGTCGTTCATCTACGATGTGCAGGATATTCGCAAATCCTGGAGGTGATCGGCGACACCGAATACCCCCGCCTGGCCCCGGGAGAAAAACGGAGCCTCCTCATCAAAGTCGATCCAGGGGACCCAATAAACCTTACTACATCCCACGGCGATGCCAGCAACGCAACCGATGAGTGGTCCTTTGTTGAGCAACGGATTAACTCAATCCAAGCCGATCTCGGCGTGTATGAAACTCCCCTCCTGACCGTAAAACTCGCATACCAGCACAGCAACCACCCTCCAAACACCACACTCTCTATCGCCAAAACGGCAAAAGTGCACCGCTACAACGAGCACTCCCACTGGCACTCCTCCCCCGCGCTGAAAACGCAGCTCTTTGCCTCCCCCGAGAATTCGCCGAAGCAGTTGATCACCAATGAGGAATACGTGTACAGGATCCGCTGCCAGAAGGCCGCGAGCATGTACTCCAACTCCGACCGCGCCCTTTCCGAAATTCAGGCCATTTGTGCTAGCGTGCGGAGAGCTGAGGCGAGGGTTGATTTACATGATATTTCCAGGGAATTGTCGTACAGGGCGAGAATGGAAAAGAGGTTTTCGCAGTCCACCACCACTTCTGCCAGCGATAGGTGTGTGGAACGTGTGCCAACGGGCCGAAGCGGTAAGAGACTCTCGAGCTTCTCGAGTGACGCCACAGATGAAATTACCTACTGGCGCGACGGTGAATCATTCTCTTCTCCATTCTTGTCACTCCCAGATGAAGCGCCGCTCGTTAGGCTCGGCTTGGAGGAATCAGATGCGGATGGCGAGGGCGAGGCTGAGGAGGGCATGGACGAGGCGCAGAAAATTTGGAGGGACATGAAGGTTAGGAAGTATGGTTCCGGCGGTTGGGGGGGTATCGGGCGGGTGAGGTTTTCTGCCAACTCTAATGGGAATGGGAATGGTAACAGTGGTGGGGGAAAGAGTCTGGTTACGCTCAGGGATGTCAGGGAGACGGACTTTGGGCCCTGGAGGGTTTAGAGTTTCTTTCCTTGCCTTTGGTTTTGTTTGGTGTGGTGGGGTAGAGTCAGTATTTGGTAAGATTCCGGATAGAATTATTGGACTTATGAGATTGCGGGAAGCTGTGCTTTTACTCTCGGGAGAATTGAGGGGCGGGCTGTGGTATAGTACTTTTACCCCAGTTAATAATAATGAATTGGTTGGATTTTTTCTTCCCTTTGGTCTATGCGAAACCTCTGAGTGAGATAAGGTATGTTCGGTTTCAGGGAATTCCGGAGTAGGAATCTTTAGCGTGCTTACCAATACATCTGCTATCCATGGAAATCACGGGAAGGTACTCGGGTAGACACCGGGAAATTGAGGATAGAGGCGCGAGGCAATGCATTGCCCATGTGTGCGGTACAGTACCAATATCCATGCAATGATACACAGTATCATACCTTCAACAAGTGGGTACACCCAATTTGAACAATCCTCCCCCTATCCACCCTTGGAGTCCATTCAGCCCACGAACTGTGCTGACCGTGAATAGTCAAATCACGATGAAACACAGTCGACATCCCAATAACAAAGATCGCAAGAAAAGCGCCGCCGTCGGGAAAACTGGGGCGTCAAGGGCGGACATCAAGTGGGCGGGTAGTATTCGCTGGACGTGCGTCACCGCGCAAGTCAGCAGGTATCAAGAGGAGGATGGAGGGTGGGGGGTGGAGGATGGAGGATGGAGAGGGGATTCGCGGTCGCCCTCCTCCAGAGACTTTGGACCCCGGTGGTTGCTCGGTGCTTGGTGGGTTACTGTGTTATACTCATGGTTTTGGTGTCGGGTGTGGGTTGGTTATGTGTTTTTCGTGCACTGTTGCCTCTCGGATGCTCCGATGGGCGGATTGAGTGGGTGAATTGCGATATGATAAGTTCTTTATCAACACGGTCGTTGTCGTGAATCGATTGAGATGTGGGAATTTGTGTGAAAATATATTGCGCGATAAGCGCAAGCTCTAGGTGACTATTGAAAACAGGTTCGAGGTGTGATATAGTATATCCTCTTCCGAGAATCATCTCAATCCAACATCCTGTACAAGCCCGCTAATACCCAAGAGTAGAGAGATTCCGAGAACAAGAGTACAACAGTACGAGGCAAAACATGATGCGCCGTAAGGGAAATACTATAGGAAATCTTACAATTTAATAAACACTGTATCCTCATTAACATCGTCAACCTCAAGACATTAGCTTATACTTTACGACGACCCCCGAAGGATTGTCTGGACCCCCAACACACCAACCGTGATCACGACTCCGACCACAATCTGCCCCACCCACCCATGCAACAGCCCGTTCTTCGGAAAAGCGATTGAATTAGGGGTATCCAGATCCACAACGTAATGTCTCGCAAACACTATAACCTCATCAGTTCCTATCCCGCTAAAAACTAAAAAGATAAAATCTCGAAGGGCAACAAACGGTCATTCTGTATCCAAATCACTTTATTCAACGCCGTCAAAACGGCGCTCCTCGTCTCGTTATCCAGGTCCGGGCGAGCCAGGACCGCCGCAATCACCAGGTCGACGACGTAGCCGAGGAGAAGCCCCATGTGGATGTACTCGACGCGGAGGCCGGGTTTCTTTGCCCTGTGAAGTGCCGTACCGGTTAGCGTGAAAGATTAGGGTATCATAAAAGCGCGGAATGGAATCATCGTACCTGTGAGCGAACCCCGCAACACCAGTGTGCATAATCCCGACTTTATCAAAGTACTCCTGCGAAGCAAGTTAGCCCCCTCCCCCAAATAATACTCTTTAAAAAAATTACCACATACCCAAGTCCCCAAATCGTCGTAATCGACCACAACCAACTTCTTCAAATATCCCTTCAGAAAGCCCATCCGGAACTTGACCATCGGGTGCTCCAGATTCAATTCCTCCACCTTTGTCGGCGCGACGCCATCGTAGCCGGTCTGTCTGGGCACGAATGCTTTCGCGGTGATGTCGAAGCTCAGGAGTTTCTTGTAGACCGCATCGACGATTGTGGGGATGAGCGCTTCCACGACGGGTCTCGCACCGTGGAGGGCCGCGGCATCGGCTTGGGTGAAGCCTATGAAGGATTTCAAGTAGGCGACGCGGGCTTGGAGGGTTGAGAGGGATTTTGGATCTATGGACTGCATCTCTGCTTGCTGCAGTATATCGTGAAGTGGTGTGGGGTAAAGGTTTTTTATGAAAAGAGGAAATCAAATACCAGCAATATCATGCTGTCAGCAAAATATGTCGCGGATTCCCCCCATTTTATATCCCTACTCGACCACCCACGATACGGGTACCCGGCTGTCGCTCCCCGCCGCCATCGCAGAACAATCGGAACAAACCCAATTGGCCCGCGAAGATTAGTCATCCCGCCCAGTGCGGAAGAATTTTCCACGGGGATGGAGAGGCGGTCGGGATTTCTGTGACAAAGCGTGGAACGATGGGATGGTGTGAGAAGGCATGGTCTGACTATTGCGAGGATGAGACCTTTTGTCAGGAACGGATGATTAACTGTGGCACCTCCGGTTGGTTGGTTTGTCGTGGGTAACTTGCGGACCGGGGAAACACATCATCTGGGAGAGGGAAGGGAGCGCGATGTCATTTTGGGAGCGCTGGTGCGAGTGGCGTACCGCACAGTGCCATATCATATAATACCGGTACTGTACTCGTACTTGTGGAATACCGATAGTGGGGTGATGCCTCGTCTTTGCTTTTGTAGACATGATTGAGTATCATAACTTTTGAGGAGCCGCATGCCAAGAATTATTACGCCATATCGTACCAGTAATACCGGTACTGTATCATACAAGAAGACGGAAACCGCCACATCTACGGCATCCCACTTCTTCCGATCCACTTCTTATCACAGCCAAAAAGGCGGTTACAGCGATGGCAGCCATTCTAAATGATTATCCATAAAGCCCCCCTAATGGGCAGTGACCATACTCCGGTATCGTCGTAACCACTTTAAAAATACCAGAGAAATGTTTTTCGCTACCTTGCAGTTGGCTGGCGGAAGACTCGCGCACTCGATTATTTCACATCAATCCAGTTTTTGGGAGAGACACGCAGCTCGACACTGCCAGGGTAAGAATTATTCAGGTAGCTGTAGGAGCCGTGAGAACAACCACTTTTTTTTACACCCGAAGTATAAATCCTGTAAATTGATAACTTGTGAACCTGCGCCATGGTGCGGCAAAAAAAGATCCGAAAGTGACCCGAGTCTCCCGTTCGGGGGACCAACCGTTGTTCCAGGTTATGATACAAGTGGTTTCTAATTCCGGGACCCTTACATTCAATGTGTCCCTGCCGAAACCTGCCCTCTACTTTATTACCGAGGTTACACTGGCCGCTCAAACTGAGCCGTTTGTCTAATCCCAAGAAGCAAGCTTTGCTTCCCACTTGCGCCTGAAGAGAATTGCCACCTCCAAGGCTTCTTAACCAGAGTTTTGCGAGTTTGGGGAGCCTACCATGACCCGAAAGAATCCTCCAAATCATAGCAACTGAAGGAGGCTTCGCAAAGGCTCGCTACGCTCTGTACGGGGAATAAATTCAATGTGGTTAAAGAGTATCCAGTATTTCGCGGAACGATGTGAACTGGTACTGTACTTTGCTACCTACGATGAAGGTTAAGCTGAACCTTGGATGGGAGATATTATACCAGTCACTTCGGTAGCGGCCCTGGATAACGGATGACCTCCTGGACGTTCCCGACAATTTTCCGATAGTTCGGCGGACTATATCCCTTGGCTGAGGGTAGCCTGCGCGGATGACTCTCACCTCCGGGTATTAAGCCATTATTACCTGGGTCTATGCGCGCTCTTTCGCTGTAACCGTTTCATCATCCAGTCCTCGCGTACGCCATTCGCCGTTCTAGCACTCAATCATGGTGCATCCTTCGCCCGTGTTGATCGTCGTCCATTTCTTCGTGGTTTTTTTGTTTTTGCTGGGCCGGAATGCAAACTCTGGAAGGCCACATTTCGCTACAAGCAGTGCACGCAGCCTAGCTCTTAAAGTTGAGTGACAGAACTAGACCCTTACTCTTGAGTGACGGGCAAGATGGTCCAAGTGAGCAATGTCCGTTGGAACACTGGGCGCTAATTCTAGGAGAGGTGAGTGAGCTCTCGCGAATATAGCTGCATCCGGTATCATACCCTTACGGTTTTGGCTCGCTCCTGTTGGTCTCTCGTTACCTTTCTGCCCCGCACAGATCTGTAGTCACGTATTGTCACTCGTTGGTTTCCTCTTGTGAACTTACATCGTTTATGGCACAGTACAATACAATAAATACAATACTCGGCTACTGTATCCGGCCGGAAACCCACCAGACGAGAAAAGGAGGACCCAGTTTGGGGTTTTAAGTTACATGATAAGCCCTCGGTATTGCCGATCTTAATTTATCGGCGCTTTCTGCGGGATGAATCCCTATGGGAAAAATATACCTTGATCCGGCGTAAAACTTTTATAGTGCGAGAGGCCCTTTCCTCCGTGCCCCTCCCTTATAGCTGTAGTTTACGGTATATTTTTATTTCGCAAGCCTAAATCCGCCGGTTCTCGCATTTAAGCCTAAAAGGGGACGGGGTGAGCCTAGTTTGGTATATTAACTGTATACCAGTTCTTGTATGTTATTCTAAGCTTCTACTTTTAAATACCCGAATTGATCCCTTTCCGCCCTGGACAATTCAAGCTCCATTTGTAGCGAAAATCCGAGCATATGCCATAACTGGTACGTTTAAATAAAATAAAAAACGAGTTGAGATAGGGAGGATATCTTGCCCATTTATCGGGTGATCATTTTGAGCGTGTTCTGAGGCGGTTAGTATTCCTATACGCGATGCTATACAGTATATATGGCGGGAAGGACAAACATTAAGACACAAGAACCTCTGGCTGCCCATTCGAAATGGGCACACAGATCTTGCCATTAGGACCAGCAGTGTAAGCAGCTGACCCGAGACCACTGGTGTACACAGTCCCCTGCGGCTTTGGCGTGTTAAAGCAGTAAGTTCCGCTGCTACCACTTCCCCCATTAGTAGTGACGACAACAACGCGGCCACTAGCCCTGCTGAAAGCATAGCAGTTATCGGTGGTGTACAAGTGAACATGATCATTTTCACCCAGTCCACCGGAAGCCATCTTCACCTTCATGAGCTTTTGTATGAATGTGTAGAGGTCGCCACTGATATCATACCCGCTCCTCCAGAGATCCTCTCTGTTAGCGGGATCGTTTCCGCCACCGTACGCCTGCTCTGTACCACCGTACAGGATGGGAATACCACGGGCGAGCATGGTGTATGAGAGAGCGTTCTTGAGGAGAGTCCAGTCGTTGTTGATGCTCAGGAAGCGCTGAACGTCATGGTTGTCCAGAAATGTTCCCAGGAGCTCCGGACGGGAGAACACAGAGCTGACCTTGTCGTGCTGACTGACGAGGTTCGGGAATCCATATTTGCGCGCGTAGCAGTCGCTGATGGAGTAGTACATGGGAAAGTTGACAAGCGCGGGCATGTAATTCTGGTAAGGCCCGACGTAAGCCGGGTCGCCGTTGAACACCTCTCCCATAGAGTGCACACCCGCAGCACTGGTGAATCCGGGCCAGAAGTCCTTCTCCACGTGCTTCACCGTGTCTAGGCGCAGTCCGTCAATGGAGTACTCCGACACCAGGTTCCTGATCCAGCCGTGGAGCAGGCTGCGCACTGTGTTGTCCTCGGTCTTGAGGTCCGGGAGCCCAGCGATCTGGCATTGCTCGACCTTCCTTTGGTCGTTGTAGTCGTCGATGCTGCAGCTGCTGTGATAGTACGAGCTTGAGTTGAAGGGGTTGAAGGTTGTGATGTCCCCGGCACCCATGTGATTGACAACGATGTCCACCATTACGTACATACTCTTTGCATGGGCCGCATTGATGAGGGATTTGAGGTCGTCTGCGGAACCGTAATTGGAGTTGACGGAATAGATGTCTTTTGCCCAATAACCGTGGTAACCGCCGGGGGTGTCTGCGATAACAGGGGTTGTTATTAGTTGTGAATACCCAACCAGAATTTCCGAGATTATTCAATTTTGTCTGGGTTTTTATTTAATTTCCACCACGGAGGGAACCGGTGCTTACTGCTCACGATTGGGGTGATCCAGATTGCATCGAACCCGAGTCCCTGGATATAGTCCAGCTGGTTTTGCATCCCCTTCCATGTCCCGCCGCAGTAATCGCCCAAGTTTGGACAGGCGTTAGTGCTGTCATCTGTCCTCGCGAATCGATCGGTGAGAACCTAGTTGCCACCCACAGCCCAGCCGGTTAAAAAATACGGCAAAGCTCCCGATTTTCTGCAACTGTGGCATTTGCAAAAAGAGGAATACTTACAAAATATATAGACCTCGTTTTCCAGGCTTCGCTGTCAGCGGCTAGCGCCAAAGTAACCAGCCCGAAAAAGCCGATCAAGGAAGAGAATTTAACCATCATTCAGAAAGAGACTGAATGAGCAAGCGCCTTTGGTTCTGGATGGAGAAAGTAAGGGAATTGCAGATAATCGTCAAGATAGGCAGAACCGTGAAGGATAAGGATGGAAATGGTTGCTAAGAAAATCAACGCATCTTTATATCATTATCGATTGATTTAGGAGAAACCCTTGGTCAAATTGCTGGCCATCGACATGACCTAGTAGGAGGAGAGTAAGATATGTTAGGCCTAGCATGGCCAAGGGTTTAGGAATGTTGAATTAAAGTGGGTGGAGGGGAGCCCTATCGTATTGTTGTATCCTGCCTCCTCTGAAACCACTCTACTGTAGCTATCGGTAACCTAAGCCGCCGGCTATGCGGCGGGGCACCGTGCCCAGTACTCGTACAATACAAGTACGCTAGAGTTGGGCGCTTAATAAAATAAGGCACGCCCGGTTAACCCAATATGTCCCCAGGATAAATTTTTGGTCTGCTTCCAACCGCGCTGGCCAGCCGTGGCGATCCTACTGTTGATTATTAGGGAGCATCACACGGTCGGTCATTTAACATAATACGGTATTTGGGAGGGGTGGAAATACTCGAGTAGGGGAAAAGGGGGATTAATTCGGGGATGCAAGTGTGCTATGCCAGGCAGTGGCCATAATGAAAGCCTTAAACCATCGTACTTAGGGTGTGAGCATAAATCGGTCGAACTCATGCTAATAGGCTGGATTTTGTATGGAGATGCAAGGTAACTGCACCTATGATTAGACATACCTCGCTAAATTGCCAAAAAACAACAAATTCGCGACTCTTTTGAAAATTTTTGATTTGGACCGGAGTCCTGTTGTGGCACATTTTGATTGGTGAGTGAAAAATTCTTATTGGTTAACGCTAACTATCGTGGGATTCCGTGAGGCTTCATTTTTGGAACCGGGAGTCTAAGGGGATGTTTAGAAGAGGTACAGACGTGGAGGGGAGGGGAGGGGGGATTTGATTACGAGAATGCTGGTCACCGCGCATGTGGCGCCGAGAGGGTTACATTTGGAATTCGTGCACGAGGAGTTGTGCGAGGGGCTGGTGAGTGACAAGGGACTAAGAGCCCATATCGAAGAGGCGGGAGCGAGATCCATTTCGGAACTCAAGGTGGTTATACGGGCGGTGATGAGGATGGCGAGATGCGGCAAGTTGTGGCATCGACAAGGGGACCTCGGCGGGTGTGTTGTTTGACCATTCGCAGGACTCGGAATACGTACCGAGTAGTGAGACGATGACCCCCATGAATAGTGGGGAGACGATGGAAACGGAGATGACCGGAGGGACAGTGGGGAGCAGTGAGTGGCCCCAGTCTGATATTGACGTGATAGGGAGCCTATCATCAGGGCATCGGGAGTTATACCGGAATTTCAAGGAGGACTGCACGTCGGACGAGGATTACGTACTGGACGAAGCAATGGACCTGGGAGGCAACAAGACGAGTGAGGGGAACGGACTGGGGGATAGCCGACACGCCGTGGAAAACACGAACAACTGTCAGGCACTGGTGCCACGTACGCCTATGAAGGATATAAGGGAAAAGTTGGGAGTTTGGAGGAAGACAAACACGGTGCCGGAGAGAGTGGAGGACACGCCGGTGCCGGAGACACAGGTTTCGATCCCGCACACTGTGCCGTATTCGGAGGGGGCAACCCAAATGATGCTGGAAGCCCTCAACGATTTTGAGGCGGGACAGATAGTGCCGGCAGTGGAGGACGAGAGAATGGAGGGGGTGGTGGTAGAGGAGATAGGTGAAGAGGAGGAACGGATGGAATCGGTATTGTCGGATCACGACCGAATACTGAGACTGGAGGGATTGATTTCAGGATTACGGGACGAAAACGACCAAATGAAGGATCATTCGGAGGATATCGAAGAAAAGGGATGTGGGAAGTGCCGAGGGAATACGACGGTAGTCCCGAGTAGAGGGGTAGTCCCGAGGGGGATGGTCCCGAAGCACCCAAGGTAGTACAGGTGAAGAAGGCCGGACCGAAGGGGGACCAAGGAAAAACGGAACCTAGGAGGGAAATTACCAAGCCGGAACAGAAACCGGCGATTCCGAAGATAACGCCGGTATCGGAAATGGTACCGTCATATAAGAAGAAGGCGGAGGAAAGGTTGTCATTTGCAAAAGTGACACAGAAAGCGAACGAAGTAAAACCTGGTGACGGATTCATCAAGGTGGATAGAAGGAGAAAGCAGGGGACCCTAAGTCCGGGAGGTGGGATGATACCGGAGAGAGAACGACGGGTTAAACTGTTGGCCCCGAGGAAGAGAGACGAGGTATACGAACTACCCGAAGGATTGACGAGGGAAAAGGTGCGACACTGCATTAACGGCGCCCTGTCGGACATGAACGCACCGAAGTTGTTTTGCACCAAGGCGGTCGGAACCAAGTACGGGGATATCGACCTCACGTTGGCGACTGCAAAGGCGAAGGACATGATCCCTTACTCCCCAGCCTTACGGGAGAGGATGAGGAAGATCAGAATGAATGGATGGGACATGAGACTGGACATCCCCAAGGTGAAAATAATCGCACTGAGGGTACCATTTGAAGACGAGTTCGGTAAGGGAGGATTGGAAAGGGTGGCAGGGGACATCGAGAGGAGTAACGAGGGGATAGCAGTGGCGGCTAGACCTTCATGGGCGGGAAGGATGGAGGCAATGAAGACGAGAGGGGCCCGGACCGGTGGACTGGTAATGGTTTAGGACAGATTGGAGGAGTTGAACCGACTGTTGAAATCTGGACGTCCCTGATTGATTGTAAAAGGGGAACCACGGGACATCAGACTGTTTGAGGAAGGGAGAACCCCGAGTCTATGCAACGCATGCTTGACAGTCGGACACCGAGAAACGTTCTGCCGAGCACCCAGAAAGTGCCGGTGGTGCCATGGGGAACATACGTCGGCAGCACATGAATGCCGAGTAGTCGCATGCACAGCAGTGAACAGGGCGTATGAACACACAAAGAGGAAATGTTACTTGTATGGAGACACCAGGCACTATGCGGGACACCCGGATTGTGTTGGACTGAGAAGAATGTCCACCCAAGAACTGATGGGACCATTAACAGAAGTGGTGGCAGATGAAACCACGGTAACCGGGATCACCGACAAGTCGAGGAACAGACTGAAGAATGCCGAGCGGAGGGTGAGGAGGACACCTGTGGCTGATGTGGTGTTGGAGGCAAAGGTAAAGGGTGAAGAGGTGGTACCAATCAACAAGGGCAAGGACGTAGAAACTTTGGAAGATGTCAAAAACAAGGCAGAAAGGAAGATTGTGGGAGACGACCGAAAGAAGAGGGTTTATTGTCTTGACTGTGGAAAGGAAGAACACATCAAAGCACGATACAAAGGGAAAGGCAAGGAAATAGAGGGGATGGGTGTCACTCTTGGATTATTATGAGGGTGAAAATCTGCATAATTAACGTGGGGGCGTCGCTTGGGAATAGGATGATGGTGATGGACTCGTACAGTTATGTGGATGTGTTTATATTTGTGGATCCACCGGTTGAGAAGGATGTGAGAAGAATTGAGATTGAAGGGACTGTATATAGTTTGTTTTCTTTTGTTAAAGGGAGCAGAATGGAGGTGTATATACGAGGGGAGTTAGTTGGATGTTTTGTGTTGAAAGGACACAGGGAAGGATGGGTGTCTATAGGGTATATTGATGATGGGACTGGAGACGATAACGGTGGGAGGAGTTTATTTGAGACCAGGAAGGAGGATAGAGGAGGTAACAAGATTGATGGAGGGTCTGGAAGGGATGGACATGATAGGAGGGGACTAGAACGCTAGGAACCCAAGGTGGGGGAACCGTTCAGGGGATGGAAAGTTGAATACTTATAGGAAACACATCGGACAGTGGATCGACAGGAATGGCTATGAGATGTGGGAACCAACAAGAAATATGTTCAGAGAGAAGTCAACTATTGACAAGGTAGCGTACAGAAGGGTGGGGCTGAAAATCCGGCCGGATGGGAAGGCAGGTGTGGAACGCGATGCTCTTATCATGGATGTGAAAGTGGGAATGCCTGATGACATGGAAGAAGCTAGAGTGGCATGGAAAAGAGTAAATTGGGAAGAGTTGGGGAACAGGATTGATGAGATCATGAAAGGGAGTGTGGAAAGAGGTTGGGAAGGGATGAAGAACATAGTGGGGGAGCAAAAGAGATAGAGAAGGGGGAAAAGGTGATGCGAGTGATACACAGAAAATCTAGCAAGAATGGCAAGGGATGTGAGGGACCTTGGAAGAAGGAAGGGCCAAAGAAGGGAAGACTGGAACCTGGCAAGGAAGGTGTACCGGACAGAATTGTTAAAAAGAAGATATGGACACTTGAAGAGCCAGCTAGCCATGGTCAAGGACCCAAAGATATTCAGAGTGGTACGGCCAATCGAGGGTAGACAGAATATACCAGTGATGTACAATGCTCCGGCCATCGAAATATTATCTGGCGTGTG